TATGATTGCTCTAGTTATGGGGAGATTGTGTTAAATAAAATAGTTAAGGCTCAGTAATCAACTTTTGGTTGTATTTAACTTTTGTTATAAACCAACCTGAACCTTTTAAACATTTTTTTAATTTATTTCATTTCTGCGTCCCTTACCTGGGTTTCCAGTAAAATAGAGCATATGCCCTAACACACAAATACATGTGAACTCAACAATAAACATGTGCACACATATGCCCACTCACCCACACAGACACTCAGCCACTATGTAATAAGTGTTATTGTGTTGCTGTCATGCATTGGAGGAGCAAAAGCAAGAAGCAGGCCTTACAAACGATCGTGTGAGCTGCAACCCCTCATCCTCCCAGGAGCGAAATTACTTATCTAGTCAATTTTAGATAATGTTCTCCATTCATCATTATTCACAAAAGCACTCTAATTCTATTAGAATAAGAAAAACCATAAAAATAAAACTTTCTTCCAGCCCTGATGAGCCTTCAGGTATCTGAGGTTTGAGAGTCTTGGTGATGAGTTTATTTCCTCTCTCCATCTCCCTCTTCTGCACCCTGTTCATTCACATTTCCTCTGTTCTCCCCTAACACAGTTAAAGCTTTTGACCTTTCCAAGGTCAAAATTAAGGTTCCAGACAGTTTTCTTTTCCTCTCTGTAATTTGGATGGGTTTGTGGCAAAGGCACGATGCTATCTTTTACCTCTCATATGTGCCCAAAGGAAACTCTCAAGCTGTGTAGGAAGGAATCAAATTATTGGTTGACAGTCCCTGCTCTGGACTAAAAGAATAAAGACCCGTTTTTAAGTGTTTCATTGAGAGGCTTGTCGGAGTTCTATAGGAAAGCATTAAATTAACCATTTAGGCAAAGTTATGACAGCATAACAGTGACAAACACACATACTGTAATTCTTTCTGTAATCTGAAAACTGAATGTTAGTAGAAAGATTCCTTTGAGCCACTTTTCTCTAAATTCAGATTTAGGAAGAGTTCATTTTTGGAGTTTCTTCTTAACTATAGCTATAGGCCAAAAGATAAGACTTCTGCAAGTAGAACTGTCGTGGGTTTTCAGTAGACAGGAGTGCATTTTAGCAAAACCAGCATGTGTGTTTGTATGCACGTTGACTATTGTTAGTGGAACAAATTTTAATGATTCTGACCAAGAATTTCCAGGAAAAATGATTAGACATGGAACTTTAACATAATGGACAAAATAGAATTTTAAGGTAGTTTTGTAGGTATACATTAAAAGAAATAACATAATTGTATTTTATTTACTGGCATAAAGCTTTCTTGTAGATAAAATGAGATTTTTCTCTCTTGAAAGGCAAAGCATTAAAATTAAAACCAATGCAACAGCACTCACTTTGGCTGCACATATACTAAAACCAATGCAACTGATTAATAAAATGAACTAAAAATAATTAACCAAACACAGCATTAAACAAGATGTAGTTATACTAGACTGAAATTCTAACTTGTTCTGTATATTCAAAATGACCATTGTGCATTTATCAAAGATTTATTTTAAACTTCATTTGAATTGCTGCCTCTCAATATCAAATTTCAAAAAGACACCTATCGTGTAAATCTGTGTCATGAAGTTCAGAGCTCTGTGCCCAGTGAAACAAAGCTCCAGTCACAGTTCACGAGGAGTATGTGACATCTAAATGTCAAGCAGTGACAAATGAGGGTGTGTAAGAGAAAATGGTTGGTGCCATGCAAGGTAAGGGGAGAGGTAGGTTTGAAAAGGATGGAGTTAGTAAAAACAGTTGTGCCCAACAGTGGGCTTAGCAAACAAACATGATCATTGTGTGGATGGGCCACCCTGGATAGTGCCCCTGGTTACGCCGCAGGAATGGAGAGCACAGGTAACTCTCACAACATACTGAGTAACACGAGAAAGGAGCACTTGTGCTTTTGGAAGAACTGGTTCAACTGCATATTCCATCTCAGCAATAGTTCTTTGGGAATCATGTGGGAATCACAGGCTTGGATAAAAACAAAACAAACAAACAAAGATTCTCGGGCAAGTTGTCTTAGGAATCAGTCTTGTCTCTACCGATTTTTTTCTAAGTTTGAGCAATGTGTTGAATACTTACTGAAGTGACATTTATATAGCAAGCAAACAATTTAACTAATTTGGATACATACATACAGCTGTATCTTCACGACTACTGACAAATTACTGGACATTTCCATGACTTCAAAAAAAGTTTGCTTTCACGCACCTGAATCTACCTCATGTAAGAAATCACCATTCTAATTGCCATCACTCGAGCATTACTCTGCCTTATTCTCAGGCTTCATACAAATGGGGTTGGAACCAGCATAATCCCACTACCTGTTAATGTTAGGCTTGTCCTAGCATATCATTCATCATAAGGCAGTAATGATTGGTAACTACTTATGATCTTTCCTGACAGGAATAGAATGTAACTGACTGTAAGACATCTATGTTTTTTATCTTTTTGGGTTCAACTTATATTCAATCAACAATTATGACCTGTCAGTAGCTTTGTTCATGAATCCATAGTAGGAACTTTGGAGGGTGGGGTGAGAAATGAAAAAGCAGTAAGGGAGAAATTTCCCTGAACTTTGAAATATAAAGGATTGATGCTATAGCTAATTTTAAGGCCAACTCTCCTGTGTTCTTATGAAAGATTGTCTCTCAGACGCAGATACCATATGCCTTTTCACTGAGTCTTAAATTTTATTAAGAAAAAATTTCTTGCATGATGCACTCTTATGTGCTTTCGCAAATACTTTTGAGCAAATATAAAAATAAAATGAAGCTGAAAAATATACCTCATCCCAAATCTGACTAGCCCGATGAATAAAATGTTTTCCATTTTTGTTATCTTAGTCTACACATCCACTATGCCCACATACTGTTTGAGTGGTTAAGTAAAAGGGGGGCTAAAAATTGAGCCAATTTCAAGACAGAGTAGCACAGAAGCAATGCCAGTGGTTCAGAGTGGGGACCCGCATGCAGATGCTATAAGGGCTGGAAAGTCTCCTGTGTCCTTTATGGATCAGATCAGCCAGGCAACTTGTGGAAAACTGCCTATATTTAGCCAAGGTGGGTTGTGTGATAAGAAGGAGGAGGCCTGGCCACATACTGTCTGACTCATCATTTCATGTCCACGTGTCAGTATCTTCTGCAGCTGGATAGCGTCTGCTCCAGACAGAACCTGGCTAACTTTCCTGGACTGAAATGCCAAACTTCTGCAGACCAAATTACAGAAATTAGCAAGGGCTAGGAACCACCTAGCCTTCAGTAGAGGACACAGAGGGTAACATCATTATGACTCATGTCTGAGCCTTGTATATTTCCCTTTCTCTAGTTTGGAACTGGAGCTCTCTGTAACAGCAACTTCTTTCCCCCACATTTTGTGTTTAGAACTGGCATAAATGATACTGGGATAACAGGGTCTCTCGTTAGAACAGGTCTAATAGGATTTTTAAGGAGTTGGGGGTGGGAGTAATTAGCAAGAGATGGAACATTATAACATTTTAAAAAATCCTTTCTGTAGAATTACTGGCTGCATCTTCACAGGAACGCAGCTGTATTTGAATCAAATCAACATGTCTGGTTTTGTTCACCTAGTGGTATTCTTACAGGATCTGGAATCTAGGAAGCATTTACTCATGAAGACCCATTTGGGTCTCTGTTTCCTCATCTTTGAGTAACTTTCAACTCCCCTCAATGCTGGGAGTATCAATGAGGTGAGGAATTAAAAACAGCACAGTGCTTGATTTAAGCAGGCAGTTAGTAACATGCTGGTAGTCATTTCCCAGTGACTCAGAGTCTAAAATGGTCTCATTGTAACTGATATTAACTGATATCAGAACGAAGAGATTCCGCTTATTAATAAGAACAAAGGTGTACACACATCTGTCTTCTTCCGGGCAACACTGGCCAAACTGAAACCCTGACTACCTAGATCACAAGGAAAAAAAAATTCTGCTGAGGTTAAACAAGGCCATAACTGCACATCACATGTGCTAATTCTCAATCTTGGTATTCCTTCATTTCTGCTACCAGAATGACATTGTCTGGCTTAGATAACTGGATGTCCAGGCATACTTCAACCTGCAGTATACATTAATGCCTAGAAAACAATAAGGTCATTGCAAAAAGACCATTGAAAAGTGGAATTAAGATACATTTGTTTTGGGTTTTGGTGCTCTGCATCATCGTATGAACTGAAAGAGGAGGGTTGTCACTTTCCCAAGCTTATCCCTCTTTAAATGACTCTTGATACATTAATTCTTCAAAGACTTGGATTCCTATAACAACCATCGAACTTTTTTTTTTTTACCAAGAAAGAGGGAAATTCTTCCATATATTGAATAATGTGTATTTTCCATGAACTTTTTAAACACTCATTTTATATGCTTGTAATCCAAATTTTTTTCCAACAAAATAATCTTTTAATTTCATTTTACCATGAACCTTTTGAAAAAACCCCTCATATAGGTTCAAAGTACCTCACTTATAAGTGGGTCAAAAAGATCCAGGAACCCAGTTGTGTTCAAATCACATCAGCTGTTTATGACTTGATCCATCCTCTGCTGATGGAATATAGGGTTTCCTTCTTGGAAGAACCAATGCTTGGAGGCCCATTCATAGCTTTTTTTTTTTTAACCTCTGGAGAAGGACAAAACTCCTGAATGCCCTCATCTGGTCATCTGAAGCACAACCCCTGCCACCTCCTTTCCAAGGTTCCTATGAAGATTTCCAAATCTATGCAGGTAAATAGTGAAACTCTGCAAATGTAAGTCATTATTATCCTGCTCTTGGAAATCACTACAGAAAGAACAGCATTATAGAAATTATCTCTATATGCATGCGATAATTAGTGGACATCTCATAATTAATACATCTCATAATTAATTTTCTAGGTGACCCAAATCACCCCTAGTTATCAAATGATAAACCCATTCTACATGAATACCAAAGCACATGGGGCCAGAAAACAAAAGAAATGGATCTTACCCAGCTGGTCTTGTGTCTTCAATGGCTCTGTCTACTGGGATCAAATCACTGAGGTAGACATTGAAATTTCCTTCTTTCCATCTTCTTTTGGCTTCTTGCTCCTTTCCTTGGGGAACAACTACAGGACGTCCAAATTGACCTGGGGCTTGGGGGTCCCTCGGAGAAAGTGTCACATCGATTCTCAGCACCTGATGCATTCCACTGTCCTCAGGTAAAAAGGCTTTTCCTTGACTCTGATTGTCCCCTGCGGTCTGGGTCTTGGCAGTTAAGTTGAGTTTTGCTGCTGCCTTCCATGTGGCTAAGGTCTGCATGGCTTGAGACACTGTTGCTCTCTGTGAAGTAAGTGGAGGGAAAGGTGCCTGACTTCTACTCCTGTAAGCATGTTTGCTTTGGCTTGCATGCAGTCCTTTAGGAAACATGCTTTTGGTTTTAGGACTGGGGACTTCTTTATAATCTGTCTTCAGTTCCTCCCCCTTGTTTATAATCACAACACGGGTTTCAGAGAAATTGAGCGTCTTTGCAGGGGCCACTTCAGTTCCATCATCCTTTGGCATACCTCCCAACTGTGTCTCATTAATAGAGTGTTTCTTTAGGAGATTGGAACTGGCAAGGAACTTGGAAAAAGGAAGACCCTCACTGACTTTGTGTTTATTTGCGTTTAGTTTTTTGCTCTGAGTCTCGGTTTTATTTAAGATTATGGCTTCTCTAGATTTTGGCACTGGTGGGCTGACGGGGTGTGTCCTTTCATTGGCCACTGCTCTTGATTGCTGATTTGACCAGTAAGTACTAAGGCTGGTGGTCAAATTCAGGTCCCTTTCGGGCACTTGCTTCGATGTGTCGAGGCTAAGACTCTTTAGGGTCTCCTGTTTTATACCAGCAAATTCTGTGTGTGCCTCTGTTTGGATCTGTGGAGTTCCTCCGGCTGCCCTGAAAGGGGTTTTCTGTGCACCCTGAGCTGCTTGCTTTGTTGCCACCTGGCGAGAGGAAACTTCAGGTTTGATGCCTCTCTCTTCTGCCTGCTGATTGGTGAGAGTAACTGGGTGAGTCTGCAGATGGGCAGGATGCCACAAAGGCAAAACTTTGCCTCTTCCCAGGGCGTTAGGCATTCTTCTTTCGTACTGAGTTTGGTACAAGTCATTCTCAGCTTTGAGCACTCTCTCCTCACTCTTTCTGAAGTTCTCTTTGTCCCATTCCCCCTTCCCATATCTCCTCTGTAGAGGCTTTATGGCTTTTTTGCTGCTGTAAAGGATCTTCATTTGGTCTGGCTGAATCTTGAATCCTATCTGTTCCCTCCTGACAATGCCTTCCTTGAGGACCCGGGTGTTGATCTCACTGAATGAGAGGCGGAGAGCTGCCATGTCAAAGAGCAGCCAGATGACAGAAGCTACAAAGATAAATGCCAAGACTCGCCCACTTCCTCGGAAAAACTTTCGGATCTTGTTCATGATGCAAAGTCTTCCCCTTGCAGCCTGCCCTCCCTTCGAGCCTTGCTTACCTTGAGTGGAGAGAAAGCCGAAGACCAGAAGCAGGAGCAGCAGAGTTGCCAGAACAAGCCCCCTCCCCTGGACACAGCAGGAAACAGCTCAGCTCCTACTGCTTGTCAGTCTCTGCCTGCGTGGCATTTCACAGCAGCAGAGCATCTGTGCCTGCTTAGCTGGCCTTGGCTAAACCCTGCTAAACACTACCCTTGGGTCATTCCAAGAGCAGTCGATTCCAGCCACCGGACAGTTGGACCTATCACTTGTCTTCTCCACGTGAATTCATGCCCACCTTCTGACCGGCCCAGGAAAAATGTGGGGGGCGGATTGGAGCTGCTGTTTCTCTCCTCCTTGTTCTCAGTCTCTGAGTCTGCACGCTGTAACTCAACACCACTTCTCATAAGGAAAACATTTCAAGGCATTACCCAGAGAAGTTCATTCAGCTCTCACCTTCCGTGTTGTGTGAGAGTGTGTGTGTGTTTTAAGAGCAATTAAACAGAAAGAAATCTATCTAACTTGGGAGGGCTAGTGTTCCTGGTTTATAACCCCAACCTTCCACGCCTACTACTCATTAACCCTTGTGTGCCCTGGTGCTTTGAATGCCCTGCCTGGACAATCAACTATTGACCTTAACGTTTCAGCTTTGGCAGGAGCACTGGCTCAAAGCAGGAGACCAGTGTGTTCTTGGCATCAGGGGAAGACATTTAATTATTCAGAAGCATTTCTTGTGGGGGAAATTGAAAGATTTCTTTTGAAGCCAACTGCATTTTTGTCATTAGTTTATTTACATTTAAAACTAGATTCAAGAAATATAAGCTTGCTTGTCTCGTGCTGCAAACATTCCCAAACAGTGTGCTGTAGGTCTGAGTATGCCTCCACTTAACATATTAAACCAGTGCAATAGAATTAGAATGCAGGGGGCCTTTGGACGATGATGAAATTATGGGAACAGAGATATTCTAGCTAGGATTAGTATCCCTTAAATAATAGGACACAGGGAACAGTCTTGCCTTTTCTACAATCAAAGGGTATCCCAGGAAAGCACTTTCTATTAAAAACGTAGTGGCCCTTACCAATGTCGAATATGCCAGTGTTATGATGTTGGCATCCCTGCTTCTAGAGCTGTGAGAAATACACTGCTATTGTTAATCAACAACTCAGTGTAGGGTGTTTAATATAGCACCTTAAGCAGATGAAGACCAACTTTCCATTCTTTCTGTCCTGTCAGGGGCCTGTAACAGTTTGAACATTTCTCTGGGACTTGGACCAATCTTTGACTGGCGTTGTTCAACTGACAGCTCAATGGTGCTTGTGCAAACTTTACATCAAACTCACTTACAAGAAATCAGACTTTAAGGACTGCTTAATCGATGGAGGATGCTGTGGAACTAACAGTCTGATGTTATAATTTTCAAAAGCTTCCGAGGGGTTTCTAAAGATGATCAAAGCTGAAAAACACTGGTCTAAAATGACATCCATCAATATTGGGGCAGGGGCGGTGGAGAAGTGGTACATTTGAACACTGACAATTTCATGCAATTCATACGCAATGTTAGATATTAATTTGGCTGGGTGAACAGTTACCTAAATAGGTGATACCGGTTGCATCTACACTGAGTAAGGAAGATCCTCTCTCACCAAGTGCAGGTGGGGGAACCATTAGGTTGGTTGCTGGACCAGGAAGACCTGAAAGGGAAAAGATGAATGTGCTCTCTATCTCCTAGACCTGAGACATTCGCCTTCTTCTTGGCACTTGAAACTCCAGAATCTCTGCTCTTCCTACTCTATGACTTAGACCAGTAGCCAACATATTCTCAGGCCTTTGATCTTGGACTGAAAATTACGTTATTGATTGCCTGGCTCCTGAGCCTCTGGATTTATACTGAGCCATGCTATTTTCTTCCTTAGTGCTTAAGCATATTGTGGAACTTCTCAGGCTTCAAAATCATGACAAGCAGTTCCCTTAATGTATTGCCTCTTCTCTCTCTCTTTTTCTTTCTTTCCATACTTACTTAGTTATCCCATTGGCTCTGTTTCTCAGGAGAACTCTATTGTCAAATAATTAGTTATTTAAATAATTATTATTTAATAATATAATTAATAGTGTGTGGAATTCTTTCCAAGATAGAGTAAAACCTAGTAAGAATCATGCAGTCCAAGGATTACTGAGTCCGAGTGTACTATTTCATGCTGTGAGTTATGAAGACCGTGCTCAGGAGCTGTGTTCTTGGAGGAACTGTGAGTGAACTGAAGATGTTGCTGCCACACATTACTCTGCTTTTTGAGTCTAAGGCAAACGTAGAGAAGTAAGGACAGATACTCAATTCTTTGTCCCAAATCATTGCCTTCTCTAACTTTCAGCCTTTAAGTATGTATGTTGCTCTATGGAAAAACCCATATAAAAACATCCCTGGTGGCATTTTCTTGAATCCCTGATTCTCCTTTCTACTCAGTGCCTGTACAATATGGCTTGGAATATCCATGCGGATGGTAGAAGTGGTAGATCAACTGTTTTCCGGAAGTATCCTTGCCTCAATTCTTCATCTGTCCTCTCAAAATCCACGGAGGATGTTCCCTGTCTCAGGCCCAGTGCTGGACACTGAGGGATACCGAGTGATAGAACATAGTTCTTGTCCTGAGGATCTCATAATTTATTGGTGGACACAGATATTTAGACATTTATTATATTTTGTAATATGCAATAAATAACATTAGAGAAAGAATATATTGGATTCTATGGGTTCATAGTTCAGTTTGGAGGGACATAGATGCTTTTTGAATAAACCAGACTTGGACTTGAAGAAGAAATTAGAATCTAATGGTCTTTGCTCAAATTGTGGACAGAGGGAATGTTAATGGATGCTAAAATGCAGATAAATTAGAAAAATATGTAGAGATGAAGACAAAGCAAAGGACCTTAGAGAAAGTTTGAGTTTTTAAGATCCAAGAAGACTGGAAACACAAGCTTGGATGTTAGCTTAAATGTCTATGTTTGTGTGTTTGTTTATGTGTGTACTTTGTGTGTTCTCAATTTGCCTTAAGTAGTTTCCCACACTTTTTCATTGAACATTTAACTCAATTCACAAAGTAATATAATGGGAAGGTAAAAATTGTGATATTCATTTTATAGTCAAGAAATGAGAATTTATAAAGACAAAGCAATTTTCAGAAAAAAATTGAAAAATATAGATTTTGAATACACATATCTGACACCATAATCCAAATGCTTACATATTACACAACACTATAATGCACTGTAAAGCTAGATCCAATGTGGTTACTGAGCAAGAGAGAAGGAAATAAGTGCTTTTTGAAGGTTAATAAAATTAGAGTAAATCATGTGAATATCTTTTCCACACTACTGTATCCCATAATGATAGCTACTGTCATTGATACAAGTACAAATATCTTGTTTTGATAGATATGTGGATACATGTGGGAGGCAAAATACCAGCTGTTCCCCAAATTAAATAAAAAAGCTTTTGAAATTTGTTTAGCTTTTATTAAAATACATTTTCATAAATTTTTAAAGATTCATTGCATGGACTTCAATTTCTTTGCCAAATAAAAAAACATCATTTTAAAAATTACCTTCCTATATCTTTACTGTTCTATATTTATTTAGAAGTTATGATTGACTTATCTGACTCTGACTTGTCCTTACACACCAAAACAAATTTACTCACTAGAGGTAAAAACTAAGCTGGAATATTGACCTACATATCACAGGTAAAGCAACTTATTAACTCTGACTTCAGTCTATCTGAAGCATGATTCAGAATGAGACACAAAAAGTATATAAAAGTGAAAACAAAATGCCCAAATCCCTTTGAAAAGCAGGAGCTGATCAACAGTCAGACTTGGTCCAAAGTACTGACTTGGTCACTAACAGTAGTACGACCATGGAGAATCTCCCATGAATGAACTCTTTTAGCGAAATGGTCCAGCTTCTTCCAGGAGAAATAACTTATGAACAACATTGTCAGTTCAATCCTTTGAACCTTCTTGAACTTAGTACAAATTTCTTGTGACTTCATCAATTACATACAGTTCCCGTTTTCTAAAAGCATTTCTTTGGACACAATTATTGCTTCCCATCTAACACCAATGGCAAATGGAATGCAAAAATCTAAATTAAACATGAGGGTCAGGAATTGTTAATGAATTAACCTATGGTTGCACTACCAACAGTCCATGTCCAACTGCCAGTTTGAATCTTGCCAACTTGACTTCCATTCCAGCTGCCTGAAAATGTGCCTGGGAAAGCAATAGGACATAGCAAGAGTCTCTGGGACACTTCCACACACGTGGAGGAGCAGGATGAGCTCCTGGCTCTTGGCTTCTACCTAACTGGCTCCAGCTGTTGTAACAATTTGTAGGGTGAGCCAAAAGATAGGAAATCTCTCTTTTCCCCTATCTCTCTTCATTACACTGATTTTTAAATAAGTAAGCAAATATTTTTTAAAAGTAAATTGAAATTTCATTCTTTTGCATTGGATATTCAATTTCCTAACAATGGTTATAGAAAAGACTTTGGTACCCTCTTTGTTCTTAACACCTTTATCAAAGATAAACATTACAAATGTGTGCATTTATTTCTGAATTCTCAGTTGGTCAGTTCCATTAGTAAGTATATTTGTTTTAATACTATAAAAATTATGCTATTTTATTATGATAATTTGAAAGTGTATTTTGAAATCAGGTTAATTTGATGTCTCTAGCTCTTTTGTTATTCAGGGCCTTGTGTGATTTGAATTTTTAGAAATTTTTTACTAGCATTAAATTTTTACTAGCATATTATTGGACTTTTGACAAAAATTGCAGTGAATCTATGCATCATTTTGAGTGTACAAATTTTAGGCTATCAATTACCTATTGCAAAATTGCTTTCAAAGTGTTTGTGCCTGTGATTTTTCTCTTCAATATCTTATATTTTTAGAGTAAAGATCTTTCCTTACTCTGGTGTA